GCTCGGGTGGCGGCTCGGCCTCTGCCTCGGACGACGACGCGGACGGGGCGCTGGCGGCCGAGAGCACGCCTTTCCTCGGCCTGCGCGGCGCGCACGATGCGCTGCGCTCGGACTCGCCGCCGCTGTGCCCGGCGGCCGACAGCAGGACTTACTACTCCCTGGACAGCCACAGCACGCGGGCCAGCAGCAGACACAGCCGCGGGCCGCCCCCGCGGGGCAAGCAGGACTCGGCGCCCCTCTAGGGGCCCCCGCCGCCCGCCGCCCCCTCCGCCTCGCCTGCCCCACTGTCTTTAAGGAGAACAGAGACCATCGCCTGGAGAGAGAAAGGAGGAAAAAAAGAAATAAAAATATTTTTATTTTCTATAAAAGGAAAAAGGTATAACAAAATGTTTTATTTTCATTTTAGCAAAAATTGTCTTATAATACTAGCTAACGGCAAAGACGTTTTTATAGGGAAACTATTTATATGTAACATCCTGATTTACAGCTTCGGAAAAAAAAAAAGAAACAACAAAAAAAAGAGATGGGCCAATTTTTTGACTCTTTAATAGAAACCTATATTGTGGTGCCTTTTGCTGTACGCTACTCTGGAGCTCCTGGAGAGAAGTCGGGTTGTGGGGTGGGGTGGGGGTGAGGGGAATGTAGGATCCCAAGCTGGCAGGGGTGAGAGGGAGCCGGCAAAGAAGAGGCTGCTGGGTGCTGGGGGTGGGGCAGGGAGGGGACTGGCCCTGAGGAAGGAAATGAGGACAGGAGTAACTTTGCCCCCAGGCAGGATCTTGAGTCCCCGACCCCCCTGAAGAGAAGGCAGGGATCCTAGGCTTGGAGCTAGAGTCGGGGTCAGGTAACATTCAGGGGGAGACTTAAGGCCCAGCGACAGCAACCAGAATGGGGAGGGGGCCTCCCCACTCCTTACAGCTGCTAAGGGAGGGGGCACTGAGAAAGAGGTCTTCCCAACAGTCCCGGCCCCAGGGAGGGGGCAGCTCTACCAGGGCCCCGAAGTTCCGGCTCCTCCTCCCCTGTGGCCTCCAGGATGCCCTTCCGTCCTCTGCAGCACCTTCGTTTACAGGTTGTCTTTTCTATTTTATGCCTGCATGTCCTTTGCATTTCAGATTCTTTAGATTGGATGCATGGTCACGCTGGGACCGAGAAGAGCCACTCCACAGTGTATTTGATTCCCCTTTTAGCAATAAAGTAACACCATTTCTCCCAGACCCCAAGCCACCTATGACTTCCACTCCCTCTCCAGCCCTGTCCTCCCCACCCCCGCAAAACTGGGTCCACTGCTAATTTGTCAAAAAGGTAATTGTTTAAAAAAAAAAAAAAAACACCCAACAAACAAATGGGAACCCTGCCCTGAAATGTCCAAACACCTGACTGTTGACACTTGAACATTTTTATATTATAAATAAAATCAGAAATAACTCATGTTTGATTGTGTGTGCCTAGCCCCCAGGTGAGGAGAGAAGACAGAGAATGAGGACCTGGGTGGAGATGGATGGATGCTGGTGTGGAGATTGGAGAGGGCCAGGGGAGTCCCAGGGAGGAAGAGACCGTCCCTCTAATCTCCCTGACTTCAGCTCCTAGGACAGGCTGCAACCCTCCTCAAATATTCACAAGGTATCCCCCCAGCTGCTGGGGAACCTGGCCAAGGGGCTGATGCATATTACTCTGCTTGGAGCTCAGCCTCAGAACCCTGGCCCAGTTCCTGCCCTGGAGCTACTGGGGCTGCACTGAGACAGCAATTTCCCACATACGTGGGTGAGGAGGGAAGGCTTGTGGAGTTGGCACTGGGGCAGCTGAGGCAAGATGACCCTTGGGGCCTCAGGCATTTCACAGGCAAAGCCCGGACACGCAAGATGGCATAATGGGTACCCTTGGCTGCCAGGAAGACCACAGCTGCTGCAGCTTGTAAGCCCACAGGGTGTTGTGCTTTTCCCAGCTTTATAGCCCCTCAGAGCCAGGGCCTGTCTAAACCTGCAGCCCTGATGAAGGCATGGAGAAGGCAGATGGAGGTCCAGGGTTCAGAAGCCTTTTCACTCATTGATTGATTTGTTAAACCAGTGCCCAGGGCCAGGAACCCTTACTTTCCAGCCAGACACAAGGGAGTCTTCTATCCAGAGGGCTCAGGTAGTTGACTTGAGCGCGCACATGCGCAAATGCCCCCCAGAATGTGTGTGGTCAGTTTAGAGACCTACCAATGGGAGGGCCGGAGAGGCTTAAGGTTGAGAGGGGCTGAGTTCAGTTCCAGCTCTGCCCCTCTCTGGCAGTGTGACTTTTCCTCAGCTATTAAGTGGTGATCCTGATACCTACCTCAAAGGGTTGCTGTGGAGATTATATATAAAGCACCCAGGACTGCTTCTGGCACATGATGCCTATTAACGGCTAATTTGATGATGATGGCATCCTGTGCCTTGCATTCTTGAATCACACAGAGAGTGGCAAAAACTAGATGAAAGGGAGGTGATAGGAAAAAGTAAAGAACTAAAGTCATTGTGTTCACTGTGGGGGGTGCTGGGAAAAAAAGCACCTGTTACAAAGAAACAAAGGAAAATAGTGAACTAAATGGTATCTAAACCTGCAAATCACTGATCTCTCCCAGGCCCCATCTGGAGATCTCATCCAAATCCCTTCCTGGCTCTGAGTTAGTTTGCTGTTGGCTTTAAAATTTTGACAGCCAGTAATTCCTCTATGTGACTTCTGACCTCTATGTGAACCCCAATAATTGTGAACGACTTCTTGGTGAACCCATTGGCCTTTTCACGACCCCTCAGTGTCAAATTGACCCTTCTGAGGGCTCTGAGTTGCTGTTACCATCTAAATTTTCAGTCAGAAACCACTCTAGGACTCCAGTGAACCCACTGACCTCTATGTGAACCCCAGTAATTGTGACTGACCTCTTGGTGAACCCCCTGGCCTTTTCATGACCCCAGGTAATTGTATCAAATAATTTGGTAGCTTGCTTATCTGCTCTGGATTCTAAAACACCTACCAAGAGTCTATACGGTGTGAATGGGACCTGAGAGAGGTGTGGCCAGAGAGGCTCATTTTCCACTTTGCCTCTCAAATTTCTGCCTTGGGGTGTCTTTAGTCTGGCCCATCAGGAAGAGGTGTAGCCCTGTTAAGTGACTTCCCTACTACCACCCTGTCCCCCAGGAGCACTTAGGACATTCAGGCGGCTTCCTGAGTCAGAGTCTTCTTCCCCACTCCAGTTCTGTCGTCTTCTCTCTGCCAGGTCAGTTTTGGCTTTCTCCCCAGTGCTCCCAGGGTCCCCAGTGGTAATGGTGACTGCCTGTCCCCTCCCCACTAGACTGTGAGCCCCATGTGGGACAGGGAGCTGCTCGGTCCTTTTCTCACCACACTGTCCTCAGCACCTAGCACAGGGTGCAGCACTGGTGACCTTCACTGAATGAGAAAAGAAACACTGTGGTCAAGGGTCAGCCCCCCAGAAGCCACTTCCCAGGACCACCAGGTGGCGCAAACCACTTACTGCATCTCACCTGTGGTCCTCCAGCCCCTGGATTTGGACAGTCTTGGAAAATGGGCATATTAGGGGCAGAAGTTGGGGGGGGGGCGGGGAGGAAATATGATGGTCCATTAGAATGCAGGAAAAAAAAATATTAGAACTTTGATTTAGATTTATTTTCATCTCATCTTTTTAAATTTCTATTTTTGTGTATGTTTTATAATGTACATAATATTTTAGTACAGTAGTACATGTATATAATTTACAATAAATAATTATACAATTAAGAAAGTGAACTAAAGATTTTTTTACTGATGGGAGACATCACTAGTGCTCAGGGAAGCCTGTCTGCAGCAGACAGAAGCTTGCTCCTCTGCTTTCATTCACCCACCCTCATGAGGTGGAGGGTGGGAAGCTGACCCCAAAAATCCAAGACCTTAGAGCCAACATGGAGAAAGTACAGAGAGCTCTTTTATGTTACATTGCTCTTCCAACTTCATTTAAATGAACATTTACTTCCGCTCAGCAAAACGAAGAGGCCAGATGGTTTGGGTGTAAAATACACTTCAGCTGATCCAAATTAAATCATCTGGATTTAAATCACTACATATTTCCACAGACTCATATGTCCCTTGCATCAAATGTGAGCGTGCTTGAACTGTTAGGTACTTAATAAGATAAGCCAACCTTGCCACTAACTAAATATATTACCACTGAGGTCAAATTGCTGCCCAAACTAATCTATTTTAAAAATATAAAGGATCTGCTCATCATAGCTCATTGAAGGCCCATCACCTCCACCGCTGGTCCGTCTGAGGAATTCAGGGTTTACAAGATACTAGCCTGTGATCATCACGTGGCAAATTTTTCTATCCTTCCCAGACATGTCCTTAGCTAGCATTTCCGAGTCACTAGAAGAGTGAAAGAAATATCAGCTTAAAAACCAATCAGCAACTTCTTACTCCACCTTTTCCCAAGATCAGGAATTAATGGCTTCCATAACCTTCCTCCACCAAACATCTTTGGGCTTGTTGACAAGCGGCTGTTTGCAAGGCAGAGTGTCTTTTATTCCCGGAGCAGTAGGTCTGTACAAGAGGCCACCTCTGGAGCTCAGAGACCTAGCAGCACCAACATAAAGACCAAAATATAAACAGGGCCATGGTCCCATCCCACTCACACCCCAGAATGCCTGTGGGACAGGTGGGATGGCATACACACACACTGTCTATTTATTCCAAACATCAACTGTAAGAGCAGTGTAAGTCACAGGTCAGCCGGAAGAGGGGAAAAGGGGGTAAGAGGAGGTCAGCACTATCTCCACCTTCTCTCCCAGAGTGTCTGGGCCACCAAGGGGCCAGAGAGCAGCCCTCCTTGCTAACAGGTGGAGTTCCCAAATAGGTTTTCCTTCATCTTATTTCATCTTGATATCAATTCCAAAATCATCTTTCAAGGGGCCCCTTATTTATATATACAATTCTTGTATATATACATTTTTGTCCATATAAAAGAAAGCAGTAGTGGCCTCCATAAATGGAAGGTGAGGTGGCCGCACACGTGAGTAGACAGCTTGACATCGAGGGAGCAGGCCCGGGTCCGGGATTATTGCAAAGGGAGGCAGGAGAACAGGGCATGGTTCCAGAAGCTACTGGGTGGAGGGAGGAGAGGATGGTGCTGGTGGTCCGCAGACCTGCGGCTGGTCAAGTCTGAGGAAGGAGGAGGAGGAGAGGTGGGGATCCAAGCTGACAGCTGGAGTCCAGACCCACCCTTGGGAACAAGGGGGATGTGGGAAGGAACTTGTGAGAAGGGGAGGAGGGCCTGGGAAGCCAGCTGCCCTTCCTCCTCCTCCTCCAGTGAGATTGTGTCTAGAGCATGCACACAACTGGCCTACAAAATGAGGCTCCGGGGTGGAGAGGAATGTGAGGGCTGGGGAGAAGGTCTGAGGCCCAGATAAACCCCAGGATGCAAGAAGATCAACACCACGAATAGCGTCTCCATCTCCTTGGCCCACGGGGCTCTCCGCACCCCTCTAGCTGCCTGTCAACTGCCTGGAGCTGGCGCAAGTGGCCCTTGGCTGGAATTGTGCTCACTGACCCCTCTGGGGACATTTGCCTGCCTCTGGGGCCTGCCCATCCATGCCAGCTAAGTATCAGGCCCAGTGGTATCCTTCGTAGCTTTGCTGCCGGTCACAGTTCCGTGGCCCTGACTGAGGGCGGGGCTTGAGTGTGTCTTGCGGAGAGAAGGATCCTCCCCTTCCAGAGTGGCCAGCCGGGCCTCAATCCGCTCCAGGTCATCTGAGCCCACTTTGATTTTCACAGCCAGGAGGTGGATATAGGTCTCATATCGGCTTTTCTAGAAAAAAGGCAGAGAAAGGCCAAAAACAAAGTCAAAGGACAAACAACAAAATGGAAAAAAAAAAAAAGTATTTGGACCTTATGTGACAAAAGACTAATTTCCTTAATACTCAGAGAGCTCTCACAAATCAATAAAAAGGAGATAAACAATCCAATTAAAAAACAGGCAAGGGACATACTCATAATTTTACTCATAATTTTAAAAATTCAAATTAAGTGGCAATGATTTCTTGAGTAGGACAGCAAAAGTACAACCAAAATAAAAACTGACAAATGGGATTACAAAATTTAAAACTCGTGTGTATCAGGGGCACCTGGGTGGCTCAGTCAGTTAAGGGTCTGCCTTCAGCTCAGGTCATGATCCCAGGGTCCTGGGACTGACCTACCCCCTTTGGGCTCCCTGCTTCAGTGGGGAGTCTGCTTCTCCCTCTCCCTCTGCTCCTCCTCCTGCTTGTGCTCTCTTTCTCTCTCTCTCTCTCTCTCTCTCATAAATAAATAAAAAATAATCTTTAAATGAAATAAATGTGCCCTTAAATAAAATCTTTAAAAAAAAAAAACTCATGTGTATCAAACGACAATCAATAGAGTGAAAAGGCAATTCACAGAATGGAAAAAAATATTTGCAAATCCTATATCTGGTAAGGATCTAATATCTAGAATATATAAAAAACTCCTACAATTCAACAACAAAAATATAAACAACCCAATTTAAAAAGGGCAAACGTCTTAAATAGACGTTTCTCCAAAGAAGACATACCAACAGTCAATAAGCTCACAAAACGATATTCAACATCAGTCATCATCAGGGAAATGCACATCAAAACCATAATGAGCTACCATCTCACACCTTTCGGAACATCTACTATCAAAGAAAAATCAGAGAGTAAGTGTTGGCGACAATGTAGGGAGACTAGAACCCTCATGCACTGCTGGTGAGAACCATGGCACACCGCCGTAGAAAACAGTCTGGGGGCACCTGGTGGTTCAGTTGGTTGAGCATTCGACTCTTGGTTTTGGCTCAGGTCATGATCTCAGGGTCATGAGATGGAGCCCCACATAGGGCTCTGTGCTCAGCGGAAAGTCTGCTTGAGATTCTCTCCCTCTCCCTCTCTCTCTGCCACACTCTCTCTAATAAATAATCTTTACACGCACAAAAAAAGGAAACAGTGGGCACCTGGGTGGCTCAGATGGTTAAGCGTCTGCCTTCGGCTCAGGTCATGATCCCAGTGTCCTGGGATCGAGTGCCGCATCGGGCTCCCTGCTCCTTGGGAGCCTGCTTCTCTCTCTGCCTCTCTCTCTCTCTCTCTCTGTCTCTCATGAATAAATAAATAAAATCTTTAAAAAAAAAAAAAGGAAACAGTATGGCTGGTCTTCAGCAAGTTAAAAATAATATTGCCTTGTGCTCCAGCAATACCACTTCTGAGTATATACCCAAAAGAATTTAAGGCAGGGTCTCAGAAATATTTGCATACCCATGTTCATAACAGCACTACTTACAAAAGCCAAAGATGAAAGCAACCCAAATATCCAGTAGCAGATGAAAAGATAAAGAAATGTGATATCTACATACAATGGAATAGTATTCAGCCTTAAAAAGGAAGGAAATTCTAATACATGCCACATCATGGATAAACTTGAGCATAAGCCAGTCAGGAAAACACAAATTCTGTATTATTCCACTAATATGCAGTAACTAGAGGAGTCAAATTCACAGGGATAGAAAATAAAATGGTGGTTGCCAGGGGTGGGGCAGGGGGAGGTGGGGAGGAGTTGCTGTTTAATGGCTGTAGAGTTTCAGTTTGGGAAGATGAAAAAGTTCTGGAAATTGGTTGCACAATAGTGTGAGTAGACTTAATACTACTGAACTATACACTTAAAATGGTTAAGATGTTAAATTTTATGCTATGTGTATTTACCACAATTTAAAAAAAATTTTTTTTAAGATTTTCTTTATTTATTTGAGAGAGAGAGACAGAGATAGAGAGCACAAGCAGGGATGAGAGGGAGAAGCAGGCTCCCTGCTTAGCAGGGAACCTGACACAGGGCTTGATCCTGGGGCCCTGGGATCATGACCTGAGCCCAAGGCAGACACTCAACCAACTGAGCCAGCCAGGTGCCCCACACAATTAAAGAATGTTTAATCCAAATTAAAATAGCAATGAGATACCCCTTATTAAACCTATCAGATTGATGATGATTAAGACATTCAGGAGTGTCCAGTGTTGGTGAGGGCATGAACAGACAAGTACATTCATAAGCTATTTAAAGTATTATAAATTGGAGGGGCACCTGGGTGGCTCAGTCGTGAACCATCAGACTCTTGATTTCGGCTCAGGTCATGATCTCAGGGTTGTGAGATCAAGCCCTGTGTCAGGCTCCATGCTAAGTGTGAAGCCTGCTTAAGATTCTCTCTCTCCCGGGGAGGTGGGTGGGGGGATGGGGTAACTGGGCGACTGGCATTAGGAGGGCACGTGACGTGATGAGCACTGGGTATTATACGCAACTGATGAATTTCTGAACTCTACATCTGAAACTAATAATGTACTATATGTTGGCTAATTGAATTTAAATTAAAAAAAAAAAGATTCTCTCTCTCCCTCTGCCCCTTCCCCACCCTTTAAAAAAAATGTGTTATAAATTGGTAAACATTTAGGAGGGAAATTTGGCCGGCCATGTCTGAGAGCCTGACTCTGAGCTTCCACACCTCACCACAGTCAGGAGAGGCTGAGGTCCTAGAAGAAGCGAAGACTAAAGGTGAGGAGACACTGTTCTCATGCAACTCTGCCACATGAGCAGAAAGACCCTTCATTGCTAGGCTTCACCTCCCCTATACACCCCCTTCCCCCAGTTAAGCCAGGGGGAAGTGAGAAAGACCTGAGTGCTGGAGTTAGAATCAATCGCCTGGGTTAGGATCCTAGCTCCTACACTTCTTAACTGTCACCTCAGGCAAGTGATCTGCCCTCTCTAAGCCTCAATTTTCCCATCTGTAAAATGGGGATAACAGAACCCATTTCAACAGAGTTGACATGAGGATTAAATCCATCAGTACAAGGGAGTGAAAGTGATCATGCTTGACAATTGGCAAGTGATCAGTCCGCTGTAGTTTTTGCCAACCCTTTTTTTCTTACACTGCAGAAAGAGTGGGTCTGAGAAGACTTTGAAAGCAGTACAGTTTTGTTTTTCAAAAGGTCAGGATATCTCTTGGGAACTCTCCTCTCTTCCTCACACCTCAATAGAAAAGCAACGTAGAAATCCAGAGACTGAGATGGGTGACTTCCTGCCTTTCCTGCCCCAAAGGCTCAATCTCAGCCTTCATATTGTCCACCCCCGCCTGCAGGTCAATACAAAGACCAGTCCAAAGGGGACAAGTGGTTCCTGCCTCCCTCCTCCAAGCTGACCCCCTTTCCTTCACCCAATGAAGGCGATGCTCCGTCAGCCCCATTCACAGAGCATCAGGAGGCAGAATCAGGGTAGGGGGGCAGGGAGAGACAAGATGGAGAGAAGGGAGAACTTAGTTGCTGTGCTCGATAAACATCTGTGGAAGAGGAAAAGGAGACAAACGCGGGATAGGTCACGCAGGTGGGCTTGAGCTGTTTATGGTTCAGCTGTAACAGCTCCCCAAGAGGCTGGGTCATGGGGGGAGTGGAGGTGAGGAGTGGCTTGGAGAAGGGTGAGGCCCACCTGGTGCTCTCTGAGAGACACAGGTGAGGGCACAACTGTTTGATTAACAATTGGCAGCCGGACTGTGCGGAGACTGGCCCACAGGAGGCCATGCGTGGCTCACGACTGCCTCAGGGGAGCCTCCAAAGTGGAGAACCCCTAAACCAGGAGCCCCTGGCTGCAGAATGATGTTGGTGACAGGAGGGAGAAGAGCTGGCTTCCTCCTTCTGCCCCAGCCCTGTCCTTCGCAATCAGCCCCAAGGAGAACCCACCTCGAAAGTGAGATAGTGCTCCTTCAGCCGGTTCTCCTCAGCCTCCTTGGACTTGACGCCCTTCTCGATGGGGTGACACCTGTGCTCAGCCAGCTCCGCAGTCACCTGCCTCAACTTATTCTCATGAGAACGCAGCTGCTCCTCCTGCATAGACAAGTCCCAGACTATGAGGTTCCACTTTCAAGATGTCAAAGGCGTGGGTCTAAACCTGTCATGCTGGGTCTGCTTCAACAAAGGGAAACTGAAGTCTGGCCAGGGTCATCAAGTATGTGGGGGACCTGAGGGAGTGCCCCTCCACCCTCCTCCTTCCTGCCTTGCTTTCACTGGCATCAGTCCTCCGAGATAAATCCATGGCAGGCTCAGGAGATGAGAGACCCTCACACTAGAATGTGCACACAGACATTCCCTGACACAGACACACAATCCCACCAGAAACGCCCCACACCGGTTCATATGGACTCTCACATGCACACACAAACACAGTGGACCAAGGAAGGGTCTGGCCTCAGCTACCCCGGCTCCATACGATGCACACATTCTCTCGGACTCTGCCCAGGCTCATACGATGGTCACAGACCCAGGATCATACCCAGAGAGTCAGAGACACCATTACTCACAGACAAGTGCGCACACACGTCCCACCCACTGAAGTACAGCCAGACGGCTTGATGCTGTGTGGGCAACGAGCTGCGTGTGTGTAGTGGGGGTGTGGGTGCACAGCAGGTGTGGATGCACATACGCGTGTGCCTGTATGGTATATGTGTGCCTGGGGGGTGGGGGTGTGTATGTGTGTGTGCACGCGCACTGCCTGTGCATGCGCAGGGGCTCTGGGCGGAAGCTGCAGCCTAGGAGCTCAGCGGAGAGACCCAGGCCAAGGGCCCAGTATGAAAAGGGCCCTGACAAAGACAGGAGGTACGGAGCTCCTCCTGCCCTCCACCTCCCAAGTGGTGGTCCACCATTTATCCTGTCCTCTCCAAAAAAAACCCTGAAAAACTCAAGTATTGATGAGTAAGAGTTTTTTTTAGGATTACAAATAAAATACTTAAGGGTAGGTAAGGGCAGCAAAAGAGCACTTGATGAAGGGCCAGCCAAATCTCACCCGTCTCTGGCTCCCTGTGACACGTACATTCTCTCGCATTCATGCTCAGACACGCACCATGCCCACAGACCCAAAATGACATCCACAGGATACCATGCCATTGGCAGAGAAGAACACAGGCCTCTGTGTGGCGTGTGGCCTCAGTCTTCCCATCTGTAAATGGGGATGAGGTGCAATGGGGATGAAGGAGAAGATCTGTCTCTTCACCTTGTCTCTTAGCCCAAGGCCAGGTACCATATAGGAGCTGAGGTAGAGGCTGTTGAATGGAGGGGGCCTGGCTGGACGCAGCCTGAAGAGGTGGCGTTGGGGCCCCAGGAGCTCATACCTGGCAGAGGCGAGTGGTGCAGGAGGGCAGCAGGGGCCGACAGAACTTCTTCATGGAGCTGACAGCAGCAGGGAAGGAGGGGGCTGAGAAGATGGCGGCCACCAGGTTGATCCTAAGGATCCATGACAGCATTTCTTCCTTGCTCCTGGGGACAGGAGGAGAGGGGAGAGGGCACCAGCTCCTCACAATAGGACTCCCTGTCCCCTACCCAGCACCCAGGACCCACCGCTAGCCTGGTACAGGGAGGGAGCCGCTTCCTTCACAAAGGGGGACAAAGGAGTGAAGGAGGATGGCAGGATGGGGGCTAGATGGACCCAGTCAAGTCTGTGTAGGGAGCTCGCCTTTGTCCCAGCTTCTAGGCAAGACCTGGATTTTACCATGAAAGAAAAGCTGTCCAGGTCCAGAGTTAATAGCCATGGAGTAACAGGCCCTAAAGCCAGTGGGCCAGGCTGATCCCTGGATCTCTGGATCCTAGAGGCAACAGGCAAGTGGTATCCCCACTCAGGCTTCCTGTCCGTGCCCCACTACCTTGCCCACAATGCACATTCCCATCCTAAGAGGTCACCTACCAGCCTCCCTCCTTTTAAGCTTGTCTGACACATGGAAACTCCAATCTCAAGTCACAGGATAGGGTGTAGAGGAGTGGACAGAAGGCCTTCCAGGGAAACTATGAGACGAGTCTTTCCCATCCATTTCCCCACCCCGATTTACAGTGAAGGATGATTCATTAAGGCTCCATCTGCCCCCAATTTAGGGACTTCGGTGTGCAACAGAATCGCCTGGAGGGCTTGTTAGAATACAACTGCTGGCCCAGCCCCAGAGTTTGATTCCGTAGGTCTATGGTGGGGTCAGAGAAATTGCATTTCTAACGCATTTCCTGGAGATGCTGAGAGGACCACACTTGAGAACCTGTATTTCAGGGGACCCCAGCAGTTGGTCTGTGCCAAGCAGATACACTCACTCTTATGGCCGACGTGCAGGGCAAGCTGACAGCACCTCGCCTAAGGCAGATGAGGAGTAGGGTGCGGTCCAGGCTCGGTGCCGCAGGCCCTGAGCCCAAGGTGGGAGGGAGGGGACTCCCACTCCTACTTACGGTGCCTGGAAGAGGAAGACCCTCCAGTCAGCCGTCTTCAGCTTGAGCACGTTGGACTTCTTGCTGTAGTCAGAGGCCCTGGTGGCCAGAGCATGGTGCACACGAATAGCGTTCTTCAAGTCGCCCTCAGACAGAGCTTTGTCGGGCCTATACTCATCCTGGACAGGTGGAGCAGGGGCAGGCAAGCCTCTGTCATCACCAGGCTCAGGTTCACTAACCCACACTTCCTCGTGCTGTCCCTCCTATCCCTCCACTCCCTCCATTCTTCAGCTCTTGCCCCCGTAGTGCCATGCCCACCCAACAAAGCCTGCCGGCCACTCTGCTCCACACCCTGGTTTGTCCCAAGGCCCAGAAAGAGCTTCCACTGCATATCTTCTGAGCCCCTGGGCATTTGCAAGACCGTTCCCTGAAAACCCAAAGCTCTATGAGCCCGAGTCAGGCTTTAATGAGGGAGGGACCCAGCATCTGCCTAAGCCCCAGGTCCTGCCAGGGACTCTCTGGGCACCACAAAACAGGGGCCGGTTGGAGGACTGCACTGGCCCTTCCTGGGTAAGGACTCTGGGGCAGTCTCTCACCTTCTGTAGGTACAAGATGGTCCCTTTGAGCACCGCGTAGAATTTCTTCCAGCCACGCCTCCCACGGGGTGCTAGGGATGGGGGTATGGGTAGTGTGGCCACAACCACCCACCCCGATATCTCCTCCCTTGCATGCCCCTACATGTCTATCTGGATGTGCAACCCCAGAGGAGTGACCACGGGGGCCAGGCCCTCTCCCCCGAACTAGCATCCCTCCCCGTGCCCCTTCCCCCGCCTGACACCCACTCCTCTTGCCATCCATGTCGGCGTGAGTCTTCCGAGTCAGCACACCATGCTTGTAGGTGGTGGCGCTGAGAGCCTGCGGGACATCCAGGAAGGGGTTGCCACCATCCAGGATCCGTGTCACTTTCTTGGTGCCTGTCCCAAACTTGTCATCCACCAGCTCAGAGAGTGATTTCCTCAGCTCGTCCTCATCACTAGGAAAATGCTAGGCCTGAGCACCACCTCCATGGAAGCCTTAGCCCCACATGGACATGTTCTCTCCCCACCAGCCCCTCTCTGGGAAACAGTCAGAGGTGAAGAGCAGAGATAAGGAGGTTCCAATTCCAGATCACAGATCCAGATCTTTGACCCCTGCCCTCAGTCTTCAATTCTGACCCCTGTCATCTGAGCTGTGATTTTTGGCCTCCAAACTCTAATCCTCACCACTGACCACAAAGTTGGAGACCTTTACTAGTTTTATTCCTGGTCTTTCTTCTCCTCTCTCCAACCCTGAAAGCCCAGTCCCGGGGAGCAGTGACTCACGGCCAGACTGAAGCGTCTGCCCAAGCCCTACAGACACACGCTGGGCCAGTAGATGAGGGCCCTAAAGTCTAGGATCCCCAGTAGAGCCCTGGGAGAAGAATGCCAGCTCTTCCCAAGGTTTGTGGGGTTCTTAACAATCGTTACCTGTGATTTCTACAAGGACCCAAAGACCAAGGCTGCCCGGGGGTGCACAGGAGGGTGGGGCAGCCACTTTCCCCAGGAGCCTCCCAGTCTCCCCACCCAGCAAGGTCACCACACCTCTTTCCAGATGGTTGGGCATTTCCAAGTCTCACTGCCTTTGCAGGGGAAGAAGTTAGGGGGCAGTCACCTCTCTCCACTGCCAAGAGCAGTCACTACCTAAACATGGTCATATTCTTGGTGTTATAGGGGGATTCGTGCCTCCTATCTACCTACCTCCCAAAAGGGAAAGAGCTATCGTCATTGGTAATAGTGGCAATATCCCCAGTACAGAAAATAAGTTGTGGACATCATGAAACTAAAGTCACAGTTTAATCAATTCCATACGAGTTTAACATTTTTATCAAGACAGAAAATGTACCCAAAGGGGAACTCAACACCTGGTGCGGCCAGCTGGACAGGGGTCACCAGAGCTGTGGGTTGGGAGAAATCAGCACCATGGAGAGTGACAGGAGTGCCTTCCCTGCTCCATCAGCCACTCCCCCTTTTGCTTCCCAGTAATTCACTTTCCCCATACCTGTGCCCATGGGCACTACTCACATGGCCCATTCCAGCTTTTCATTCTTGATGGAGTTGTAAAGGGTCTGGGGCAGGGGAAAAGAGAAAGAGAGGAGTTCAGATGAAGAGTCAAAGAAATCTCCATCTACCTCTAATAATGTGGATGCAGTGAGGAAGCATCTTTTCAGCCAGTGGGGCAAAATGGGTGTTTGATTCATAGCTGTTTGTTGAATGGATGAATGAATGAGGGATGGGTAGGTAGATGATTGTTTAGATGAATGGGTGCATAGATTTGAGGAAGAGTTGGGTAGATAGGTTGGTGGGTAGGTGGATGGGTGGGGTAATTAGTGGGTGGGTGAGGGTGCAAGGATGTAGGAGGTGTATGTGTGGATGATGGGTGAATGGGTAGGGTAGGGGCAGGCGAATGAGTTTCTGGGTAGGTGAATGGATAAAAGGATGGGGGCATGGGAGGTTGGGTAAATGGGTAGATGGGGAGAAGTGGATAGGTGGCTGTTGGGACTGGGATTATTTTATCTCACTTACAAATACATTCTTAACAAGCCCTTCTTGATGAAGAAGAAGATAATTATGATAAGAGTGATGGAGACAATGTTTTATTTTTTGGCCTCCAGACTCACTATCTAACTACCTACCTGGTATCACCATATCCTTCAAACTCACTATCTAAAACTGAACTCATTGGGACACCTGGGTGGCTCAGTCGATTAAGTATCCAACTCTTGATTTCAGCTCAGGTCATGATCTCAGGGTGGTAAGATCGAGCCCTGCATCAGGCTCTGAGCTGGGCATGGAGCCTGCTTAAGATTCTCTCTCTCCCTCTGCCCCTGGCCCTCCCCCTACTCACTCTCGCACTCTCTCTCTCTCAAATAAATAAATCTTTAAAGAATAAAAATAAAAAATAAAACTGAACTCCTCATTTACCCTCCAAAAAACCTGCTCCTCTTCCTCCAAGGCAGAGAACTGACCAGGCTTGAAAGGCCAGAGTTCCACCCTGGGTTTCAGCCTCAGGAGTAAACTAGTATCCCTTAATTCCTGGTGATGTTGGAGAAATGGGTGGGTTTCTCCCTGCGGTGATGACAATGACAGTTGTGGTGATGGTGGTGGAAACAGAGGTAGTCAGGGATGGCTGCGGCAGCTATGACAACTGTTGGTAGCTTTGAGGCTTATCATGACAGCAATGAAGAGAATGCAGTGCTAAAAACAAATCTCGTAAAGCCTACCCCTCTGCCTAACTCAGGGAACATGCAACAGTCAAATGTTGAACTGGATGGTCACTAACTCTACCCCAAAGTCATGGTAACCGTGACCCCAGTGTTAAAAATGTAGACTGTCAGAGGAGCCCGGCTGGCTCAGTCAGTAGAGCATGTGACTCTTGATCTTGGGGTCATGAGTTCAAGCCCCATGTTCAGTGCAGAGCTTGCTTTTTAAAAAAGATTTATGTATTTATTTGAGGAGGGGAAGGGCAGAAGGAGAGGGAGAGAGAGAATCTTAAGCAGACTCCCTGCTGAGCGTGGAGCCCAAAGCGTGGCTCGATCTCACAACCCTGAGATCATGACCTGAGCCGAAATCAAGAGTCAGACACCCAGGTGCAACCTGGTGTAGAGATTTTTTTTAAAATCTACACTGTCAGGATTTAGTGGAGCAGAGACCTCTCTCCTCCCCACCCACTCCAGGTACAGTTGGGGGCATGGGAACCCTTAACAGGTTTTACCTTCAGCAGGTCTTTGGCAAAGTCTTGGCCATCATTCAGCTGGTCCAAGTTGGCAATGAATTGCTGGCAGGACATCTTTTTGCCAATGTTCTGTAATGGAGAAATGGTTCTGCCTGAGTGTAGGGATGGAGGCTGGTATGATCCCCATACCCTGCCCTGCCCAGCCAGAAGGGATGAAGCAGCATCAAGGGTAGTAATGAAAAATACTGCCTAGAGTTCCCTTTGTGTCCAAGAATTTACAAAACTCTTTTTTACTTTCAAGATTCTACATGATCCTCAATGAGGAGTTAGAGTTTTCCTCAAGCCCAGATAGAGTCAGGTTGGATTAAATAACATAACAGATGACATTTACCAGGTGCCTAGTATGTTTCAGGTATTGTACTTGACATGCATTATTATATTTCCTTCTCATAACAAGGAGAAAGTGAGGTGGGTATTACTATTATCCCCATTTGACAGGTAAGGAAACTGAGGTGTAGGAAGGTGAAGTGACGTGCCCATGATCACACAGCAAGGAAGTGGAAGGGCTGAGTGTGTCTGATACCAAAGCCCACGCTCTCACCCGCTACTCCATGGTTAACTCTCCCAAGGTCACACAGCACCAGGACTTGAACCCAGGCCTCTTGGCTGCTGAGCAGAAGCTCTGTGTATTCCGTCACAACTGTCTCACCCTCTCACCTGCACAGAGGGGCGGCAAGACCTCCAAGAGGTAGGTGAAGTGAGGGAGAGGTTGATCTTAAGAGAATCAAAAATCAATTTCCACCAATACACATGGATACCCCATGCTGAGCTGGGCTGGGACCAAGGGAACCCGAGCAGATGGTCTCATGCCAGAAGGCACAAAAAGACAAAGAGCTGGAAACGACTGTACCCCAAGTTCTGCCTTTTTTAAACCACTGAATAGCAGAGGGGCTCCAGCCCTCCAAACCCAACACCTGATGTGCATACTTTCAGACTCTTCTTGCAATATCCATGTTTGAGGACACACTGGGTGGCACTTCACCTTTGTGAAGACGAAGACCCTTGAACACCAGATACTTATTGCTGTAGGATTTTGTGGATTTAGGCTGGCTATAAGACAGTGTTTTCCAAGACTTACCTACAGATGGGAATAGGTATTTCCCCACAAAAAGACTTCAGAATCAAATAAGTTTATTTACATGTTTCAGAGTCTTTAATATGCTTTGTGTGTTGAGAGTCTCCAAAGGAAGGATTCCATGTACAGGCTCCCAAATTCATTGACCTTGTCAGCATTTTAAGAGAGAGAATCTATTAACATCATGTGGAACATTAATATACCACAGAAAATAATCCAGGAAACAAGGATATAAGGCTTTATAAGTAGCTGACAAACAAGAATTTTCTACACCTTTCCAAAAGGTTAAGGAGACAAAATCCTACATATACCTTGATATAGTATGTTTCATATGTTTATGTGTATATTCTACATGTACATATATGTATTTTCATATGTAGCCACTTATGTGTGCATTCGTAATAGAGGGATATGAGGCAATAATGTCTGGGTTTCACACACTGAATATTCCCCAGCCACCAGTCAGGAGTTCAAAATCAAAAAATAACCAGGCAAGATTTTCAATCCCAGAAATGACAGGCTATTTTGTTGCAAATGAATCTTCCTAACAGAAACAAGTGCTGGTCAAAATATTAAAACATCTGTGTGAAGACACTAGAGAAATGTAAGAGCAGTGAGAACTTCAAGGGTAAAGATCCTGCAAGAAGGGAAGCATGGAGATGTGAGCCCCATAAGGAGCAGGTTTCCTACCTGAAGCATTTGCCAGTTCACAAGCAGTGACCAAAAGGCTGAGCAACTGAGCAGTCAGTAGGACTGGAGAACAAAAATTAGAATTCAAGGCCCACCAAGGAAACACCTCTGGGGAAACACCCCACTCACACTTCAACACAAGTGTTGAAATTAAGAAAGGAAATACTAAAGGGACTTTTTCTGGCAGAAGGAAAATTATCCCAGATGGAAGCATGAAGAAGCAGAAAGGAATGAAGAGCAACAAAAACGGTGGCCAAATCTAAATGAATATTGATTATATAAAACAATGATAAGAAAGTTTTCTGGGGAAGGGCACCTGGGTAGCTCAATTGATTGAGTGTCTGACTCTGGATCTCAGCTCGGGTCTTGATCTCAGGGTTGTGAGTTCAAGGTCTCAAGGTTGTGTTGGGCTCCACGCTGAGCACAGAGTCTACAGAAGAATAAGACTAAGACTAAGACTAAGAAGAACGAGAAAAGAAGAAGAAAGAAAGAAAAAGAAAGACAGAAAGACAGAAAGAAAGAAAGAAAGAAAGAAAGAAAGAAAGAAAGAAAGAAAGAAAGAAAGAAAGAAAGGAAAAGAAAGAAAGTTTTCTGGGAAATAAAGTATAGAGAAAGATCTAATAGTTTAAGATGACAACAGTAATATATAAGCTGAGAGGGCAATAAATGGAGAAATAGAGTTAAGGTGTTTTAAGACGATGTCATTGCCTAGGAACTGGAAAAAGTACATTAATAATTTAGGAGGCACACTGCAAACAACAAAAAGAATTTTCAAAGAATGAACAATTAACAGGCTAACGGAATAAAAGGGAATTCTAAAAAATGCTTAAATAATCCAAAAGTAGGCAAGAAAGGAGAAAAAAAAGGAACATAGAACTGATAAGTCAGAGAAAACAAATTGTATCCTGGTATGTTTAAATTTAATTATATTAGTAATTCATTAAGTGGTCAGATTAAGAGGTAAAGATTATCAAACTTAATTTTTTTAAAAAGTGTATCATAAAAGACATATCTCTTAAATATAAGGGGACAGAAAACTTAAAAACAAAGGATGGCAATAGACACATGCAAACACTAACAAAAGAACTCTAGCATAACCACACTATATCTGAGAAAATAGACTTGAAGACAAGAAACCTTACTAGAGATAAAAAGAGACATTTCATAGTGATAAAAGGGCCAATCTACCAGATGATATAAGCATCCTAAATGTATATGCACCTAATAACATAGCCTCAAAAAATAAAAGACAAAAATTGTCAGAACCAAAAAGAGAAAGACACATTCACAATCTTGGTTGGAAATTTTAACACTGCTCTCTCAGTAACAAAAGAACAAAAATACTAAACAATTCATTAACAACAATTAGATAAAATGGACAAATTCTGGAAACATACTATTAAAAATGCTCAAGCAGAAATAGGAAATCTGAATAGATCTATAAAAAGTAAAAAGACTGAGGGACACCTGGGTGGCTGAGTCAGTTAAGCATCTGCCTTCGGCTCAGGTCATTATTCCAGAGTCCGAGGATCAAGCCCCTCATCAGGCTCCCTGCTCAGCAGGGAGTCTGCTTCTCTCTCTGCCTCTCACCCTGCTCATGCTCTCTCTTCTCTCTCACTCTCTCTCACTCTCAAATAAATGAATAAGACCTTTAAAAAAAAGAAGTAAAAAGATTGAACCAATAATCAGAAACCTCACAAAAGAAAAGCCCAAAACCAGATGGCTTCAGTAGTAAACTTCACCAAACATTTAGAGAAAAATTAACACCAATACTCCTCAAGCTCTTCCAAAAAACTGACGAAGAAGGAAAACTTCCTAACTCATTCTATAATGCCAACATTACCTTGATAACAAAACCAGAAAAAGACATCACAAGGAAAGAAAACTATGTAACAATATCCTTTGGGAATATAAATGCAAAAACCCTCAACAAAATACTAGCAAACAGAATCCAGCAGCATTTTGAAAGGATTATATACCATGATCAAATGGAATGTATCCCAGTAATGCAAGTGTGGCTCAACATACAGAAATCTAACAAGGTAATACACTACATAAATATTAAGAATGAAGGGAGGGGGAAACCACATGTTCATCTCAATTGATGCAGAAAAAAACATTTCACAAAATTCAACACTCCTTTCATGATTAAAAAAAAAAAACGAACAAACTAGGAACAGAACTTCCTCAATATGATAAAAGGCATTTATGAAAACTCATAGCTAACATCATACTCAATGGTGAAAGACTGAAAGTTTTCCCCCTGAGATTAGGAAAAGGCAAGAGTGCCGTTTCCCCAATTCTCTTCAACATGTACTAGGAGTTCTAGTCAGAGCAATTATGCAAACAAAAGAAGTAAAAGGCATCCAAATTACAAAGGAAGAAGTAAAACTATCTCTATTCATAGATGACATGATCTTGTATATAGAAAATCCTAAAGGATACACCAAAAAATGAACACATTCAGCAAAGTTGCAGAATACAAGATCAGCACATAAAAATCAATGTTAGTAAAGAATGATCATAAACTGAAATTAAGAAAACAATTTCATTTACAATAACATCAAAAAGAATTAAAAACTTAGAAATAAATTTAACCGAGGATATAAAAGACTTGTATACTGATAACTATAAAAGACTGCTAAAAGAAATTAAAGACCTAGGGGCGCCTGGGTGGCTCAGTCGTTAAGCGTCTGCCTTCGGCTCAGGTCATGATCCCAGGGTCCTGGGATCGAGCCCCGCGTCGGGCTCCCTGCTCAGCGGGAAGCCTGCTTCTCCCTCTCCCACTCCCCCTGCTTGTGTTCACTCTCTCACTATGTCTCTCTCT